GTATCATTACCCGAATACTTCCAAATTGTTCAAGTGCAACCTTCCAACTGACCGCGGTTTTGTCGTTGGTTGTCAATTCCCTGGTGCTCAGGTATTTTTGTTGTATCAATGTCTATTGTTAGGAATAGAATGCATAATGGGTGCTTAGACATGAGTCAGTGTGATGATACTTCAGTAATACGTCTGTCTTGGTATTATTAATGCTGGATGATGATTGTTATTGAGAACAGAGAATGTAGCATATTAATCGATACTACTAATTATCTGTTGGTTAAAAGATGAACATTTGTAATGAATGGTGATGAAATGTTTTAGTTGACATTTGCTTTTTAACAGATTGATTAAGTGATTGATAGAATGATTGCCGTTATTACGGTAATGTGAGCGCGTGTGAAGAGTATCAATATGTGGAATTGTCCGTTAGAAAACATTACAGTTTGCTGATCCCAGAACTGTACAAAACATTCATGCAGTGATTAATGTCGATTTAAGGTATACGAGCTGATAAATGAATTCGCGAATCAACACGAATTAGTGCAGCGTTATATAGAGACAGATTTCGATTTCAATGGATGGCTTTCAGAGTTATCCATTCGTTATTTATATTCGTCGCCGATGTATATCAATAAAATACTGCAGTTCGTGGAATATTATCTCAACCCTCTGCAACAACTCAAGCAGCAACTCAGGTTTATAACTGTTCATTACTATTATTACTCTAATCAATTTTCATATCAATTCATTTCTCTTCACTTACTGCCTCTAAATCATTATTTGCCCTATCAAAGTATTTTCTATTCAAGTAGTAATTCTTCGAATTCAAAAAGTTGACCATCTTAGCAGCACTGATATTCGCATCGGGTTTTATATAGTTGTCAGTAAATTCGATAAATTGATTGGTAAATTAATGCAACTAATTATAATTTTACCGCAAATGTTCACATTCTTTATTCATATTTCTGTTCAGTTTTCGTCAAATGAATATTGTTAAGCGAAGAAGTATTTTATGCACGAAGTATGTAATGTATGAATTTAAGATTAGTATAATTGTATAGTTGTCGAAGG